ACACCTTGGGGTGACCTAAAGCTCCTCCACCGCCGTCGCAACTGATCCAACGCTCTTTCGAGGCAATCGGTGGCGTCTCGGCTATCAGATCGATGGCAAACCGCGGATTAATCTGTTTTGGACACAAGACTTGTCAACCAAATGTCAACTCATTTCATAAATGTCCGCAAAACAGATCATTTCATACCTCTTTGGTTTTGCCAACAAATCGCACCAATCGGTAGTCATCGGCGGTGAATGTCTGCCAAACAGAGATAGTGAGTGTCATATTGCAAGTGTTGTGGTGATGTCTACCTGTCCCGTATGAGTGGGTTTGTCCAACACATGGTCTTTGATCTGTCGCTCAATCTTCTGGTCAAACACTTGTGTCTCATTTGACACCACTTTCGGTGACTTACTATCTGTCGACAGAAACGACTTCTTCGTCACGAGTGGACACAAGCTTCTCATCAAATGCAATGAGTTTTGGTTTTTAACGCATTTTATGTAATTTAATGCCATTTCTAACCCAAAACCAAATCAATTGATTGTAAAATAGGTTTTCATTCAGTGTTTGCTTTTGTAAACAAAATCCTTCATTGAGAACACAATCACGTGATAGACCTCTACACACATGACTGCCATGTAATTCAAGTATAGCTCGTGTGTGAAAAGGTACTGAATTATCGCACAAATCTGTTTCATAACTTATTGAATCAATTTTGGTGAATAGAGTCTATAATACTTTTTATATGAATTTTTATTCATTAAATCATATAATTATATGACAGGAATGGTACAAAACTGTTATTACATTAACCATAAAACAATTGATTTGATTCATCAAATAAAATGCAGTCATAAATGCATAAAAATGCCAAATATTTCTATTAAATGCCAAATATTTCCATTAAATGCCAAATATTTCCATTAAATGCCATTATATTTGGGGGCAATTATTGTGACACATGTGAGCGTAACGTTGTTTATAACGTAATGAAACCATAACTTACTGTTTGTTTAGTTTTTTGCAACAATTTCATAGCAATTGATTTAATTGTAATTTAAATATTACTACATTTGAAACGACAATCAAATTGATGTATAAATATGAGTGAGAAGTGAATGCAAAGTAAGTACATGTGATGTGAATGTATTTGAAAGTGAGAATTGAATGCAAAATCATTTGCAGATAAGCCTCAAAAATGTGATAAAAGTATTAGTGAAGCATTCAATTCAATTGAAGTCATAAACGAGTTATTAATCAATGAATGCTCACAAATACACCTCTTTTTGTGGAAATGATAGCAAATATTAATATTATTTTATTATCTCTTAAGACCACACTTTGATGTCATAATAAAAGTTTACATTTGGTCTCAATTGCTGTCTCTTTATCTGAAACTGATATCACGAGTGAAGCCTTAATTGCATACAAATGTTGCTTCGGTTGCCGTCTCTTATAAGTCGGTTGTCTTGTGTGAGCCACCAGTCGCTCACACAATGTCTTCGACGAGTGGTTCCAATGGAGCGCCCGATGATGGCATACAATGGGTGGCCAGTGGTGTGGGAACAGAGGCGCGGCTTTAAAGACAAGGAGATCCTGAAGATCCGGTGCAACGACTGTTACTTCAAGAAAGTGGACAACAGGTGGTGGGTGTTGTGTCACAGCCATCCCAGACATAAACAGAGACAGAAAGTGGAGGACATCCGCGTCAATTGGATTGTCACTCACATCACCAGAACGGGTCCTCCATTCAAAAAGCACTTCCAATATCCGGGACATGACTTATAAGTATTGTTCAAATGTGCAAATGCTCTGTATTTTAGGTCAATACTAGTGTTTCGTAATTATAATAGCGTTTCGTTTATACCTTACCATTCATTTACATAACTATTGAGTCATTTCTTATAGAAATGCTTTGAAATTAATTTTGAAAATTAATAAAAAAAACATGAAAACAATTATCACTTATTTCTGGAATAACTTTATTATTGAATCTTTAGCTACACTTTAATGAATGTTTGATTTATATAATAACATAATTGGATGTGTGTTTAAAACCATTTCATTCGTTCACAACTTAATTGATATTATTTTTTAAATAATGAGTCGGGAGTACATCACAAAGGAACGGGTGGTTTGACTAGTGGTCAGAATTCGTGAGTGGACTTCACATTCACAACACTATTGAACATAATTTTGACAAATTTTTAGATAAATGTAGACAATATTTGATATAATTTTCAAACTTAGCCATTGATTGAATCAGTGATACAATCGGTCTTATAAATGGAAAAGTGTTTAATTATTTGTTTTATCAATATTTATAATGATTATCCATAATATCGTTGCTATACTCGCGTTAATTTAGTTTACATTTTAATGGTAAATAACTTCTGCCACTCGTTAACAAAATAAGATAATTGAAATGTAAATACGATATAATTATAATTACAATAATTTTGAATATGAATTTCAATTAAAATCCTAACTATGATCGAAATAATCTGTATTTATCTGTCTTTACAAACGCTATGATATGAATACAAAGTATAGTAACATTTGAATCGTGTTTTCGGTATTTAAAAACTGGAATGAATTGAGAGTCGATTCCGTAAAACAATTACTCTTTAGTTAATCAATACTTAAATATAATTAAAATATATTAAATGGAAAACAATTTAGTGTTTGAATCATAAATCATAGCGTAAACCGAAATAATAATAATAAAAAACATATAATAATAATAAGTCGACAAAACCTAACAGACGTTTAACCGGTTTTTGTCGATAAGACGAGAGCGACGATCAGTCCGTAGAGACCCAACACTTCGGCGAAGATGAGGATCAAAATCATGCCGACGAAGAGTCGCGGCTGTTGTGCAGTCCCGCGCACACCGGCGTCCCCTACGATCCCTATGGCAAAGCCGGCCGCCAGACCCGACAGACCCACCGACAGGCCGGCGCCCAAGTGGAGGAACCCGTGGTACAGCTTATAGCCTCCGGGGCCGCCCTCGTCTATCTTGTTGGCTATGAGTGCCGCCACAACCAGACCGTAGATCGCGATAATACCCGCCATAACCACAGGGATGATGGACTTCATGATGAGTTCTGGTCGCATGACAGACATGGCGGCGATACCGGTGCCCGACTTCGCCGTCCCGTAGGCCGCGCCCAACGCCGAGAACACCATCGCAGACGCGCTGCCCATCACTCCGAAGAAGGGGCCGTAAACTGGAGACAAGTCGTCCGCCATTTCGAGATGTGATATACGAGTGGTTTCGGTGGCAAAGAGTGTTCAGTCTTCTGGTGACGATCACAGTGTGTGGTCTGATGGACAGGGATGTGGTGAGTGACGAGTCTTTCAACGAAATCAAATCAATTAATACGAAATGCAATCAAATGTTGAGTTTGTGTTGAATTAGTGGGCGTTTAATGCGATCAACGGATAGACAATAATGTGATTCAATTGACTCGCAATACAACTCACTGTCTATTGAATGCCTTTTAAATGGCGTTCAAGTGTTCACTCAAACGCTGTATTCAACGCTAACGTCATATCTATTGCAGTAATCGTTGCTCTCATAGGCTCTCAATGTGTTTGCATTCACTGCAAAAGTAGTGACTTTTTGCGATACAAACGCGTTCAAGTGTTCACTCAAACGCTGTATTCAACGCTAACGTCATATCTATTGCAGTAATCGTCGCTCTCATAGGCTCTCAATGTGTTTGCATTCACTGCAAAAGTAGTGACTTTTTGCGATACAAACGCGAACTAAACACTCAGTCATCGCATAGACTTCACATGCATTTCACTCACCAATCATTGCCTCAATTTATTACTTAATTACTAATCATTGAAACTTAATTCATACAAATTTAGGCATATTTAGTCATTAATGAGCTGTAGTGTGCAGTGATAACAGGTGTATTCATGTGTTAGCAAGCTCAATATTTGAAATGAACTTGAATAATTATTCTAGGTAAAGTTAGTTAGTGGAATTCTGTACTCTATCTGTTGTGTAATTAAATACCTGTACACATTTACTGTATGTACTTTTACTGTACTAACAGTTACATAACTGTTTAACATTTATTTCAAATCTAATTTATACTGGTTAGATTATCTAATACTGTATTATATTTATTTAAGAATCAAAATATTTATTTGATTTCAAATTGAATAAATAGATGGAAATGTTGGTCGAGTGAACTCAATACAAGTGAAGATATTTTTCGAGAAGTTTAAGAAAACTTCAAGTAAATTAATTAGTTTAAAATTATTTTAATAAATCACCCAATTTGTAATTGTGCATGTATGAAACACATGCTAAATTGCACAGGATACATAATAACTTTCTACAATATCCTTATATAATTTATTTTAATTAAAACTATAAAATAAGTTTAAAATACTCGAACCCTTAAGAAAATTATAAATCTAGACTAAAACTTTTAGGTATACCGTAGATATGATACAATATTTTCTACAATATCCTTATATAATTTATTTTAATTAAAACTATAAAATAAGTTTAAAATACTCGAACCCTTAAGAAAATTATAAATCTAGACTAAAACTTTTAGGTATACCGTAGATATGATACAATAAAAAACAAATTTTTTACCTTCAATTACCAGAAAGTATGTTAAATTCGATACAAATCGTAATAATTACTGAAAGTGTTATACAAAATGTAAAGCTTTTGCAATATTAAAAGCATTGTATAAATAGCGGAAATAGGAGTGAGTGAAGCAAATCATGTTTTATATACAGAATAATTGGCAAAAATTGCATTCTTTTAGAGATCACTCAATAGGTAATTATGATTTAAAGGCCATTCATTGCAACCTTGCATTTCACACAAATATTACATTAAGCAAACAAAACATTGTATTTCTTGGCATTTATGGCATATGTACCAAAAAAATGTTTTTAAGAAATTATGTGATTCTATTGTTTATTATATACTTAAAAACTACTTTCCAAACCGATATAAATATTGATGGCTTTGATGACAGCCATGTGAATGATGCAGAATTTCCTCAAGAATTGGATTATTCCGTTGAAACGAGTCTTAA